TTAAGTGTAAAATTAAGTTTTAATCTTAAAACAATTTCAAAATAATTTTTCAAAGTATTTCGAACCATTTCAAAGCCTAAAATTCCAGATTGCTCAGAGGGAACCGATTCCCCCCAAGGGGGTACCGATTCCCCCCTGAATGGTTTGGCTCCGAGATTTCCAGAATGCTCGGAGGGAACCGATACCCCCAGTTCAACGGTCGAAATATTTGAATTTTACGCTTAGGAAACCGATTCCCCTCAAGGGGTACCGATTCCCCCCACGCTCTAAGCTGTTTTATTAATTGTTTTTACACTAAAACGGCTATATTATCTTCACTAATCATCCCCAACGTTCAGAAGTGATTCAAGGTGTATTTAAGCAAGCTTAGGAGCCATTGATCAATAACAAGAAACATCAAGCAACTAGAATCAAGAGAGAATCAAAGAGAAAACATCAAATCTCAAGTTTAAGCATTTCAAGCCTATTTTCATTCAATATTCATTTTGCTTTCAAGAACACATATTGTGCTCAATTGTATTCATCTTTGAGTGTTCTTTTCTTTGTTCTAGAATTGTGCAAACATCTTACCTTGTGAGGTTTTCTTGTAAGTTTGCGAAATTTGTAATCTTCTCTTTGAGAAAAGAGTGTTCTCAAGAATTGGGGTATATTCTTGAGGGAGTTGTAAGATTATCTCTTTGGCCTCAAAAGAAAGAACAAATTAGTGAATTTGTTGGAAAATCTTAGTGTGGATAGCTAAGGTAGTGGACATCGACTTTGGTTGATAAAGTCGGACCACTCTAAATCGCTGTGCAATTACTTTCAATTTTCTGCAAAAGCTTCTACCAAAATTTTAATTGCCAATTCACCCCCTCTTGGCCGATTCCGTCAATCGATTAACTCAACATACTTCTTAAACATAATTCATGGGGGGAGGAAGAAGTTCTCATGCTTATTTAAGTACCTGAATTCCATCGTTTTCACACCTGTCACCCACATCAAATGGGTGCATGACAAATAAAAATATAATGGCTTCGAACAGTGTCTTGCAGGTGTTTCCAAATACGAAAGCGACAAGCAGCAGTTGAGAGCTAATGAAAACGAGAACTTTTCCGGTGGCGATTTCAAGTATGAGAAGCCAAATAACCACTATGATGATGCCGACGAGAACATCAACTACCCGATGAAGTCTGTTGACAGTTGTTTTGGTATCGTTCAGTGTCAAGGCAAATGCCCTTCGTTCTCTGAAAGCATTGACCTACATTGATGTGCATCATCACATTAATGCATACATAAAAAAGGGGGAAAGCCCTTGCTTTATCCCTTAATGGCATATACTAACGAATGATTCAAAAACATTATGTTGCATATACTCTTACCACCCAGTTCTTCAGGGCCTTCTTGCTAATTCTCCTGCTTTCGGATGCATCTTCAAAGAAACTCATCGCCTTCAAAGCCTCATCTTCTTGAAGAAAACGTTCAATGTCCTCTAAGTAGATGAAACTGAGAAGACAATTATTAGCAATAATACAAGGAAAAAACATCTTAGGTGTTTCTAAAGTTCTTGATCCGGACGGATAATATCATTAAACCTGCAACTAATTGGTCAAACTAAAAACTGCAAAATACAGTTACACTACTTAAATCACCATAATTCGCTTCTCATTTTATGTCCTTATGATTATTCTTGCTCTTTTTCAACATTACTAAATGGGAAATAACATATTTTTGCAGTAGAGGTATGGTAAACTGAAAAAACACTGAGGTGCAATGAGGCTTGATGAAAAAGAAAGCTGATTTCCATGGTTCGAAGAAGAATTAGACATACCTGGATCCCGGCTTTGTAACATTCTGGAAGATTTTTCTTGCTGCAACTTTTGCCTCATACTCATTTCTAATTTGGTTTGCAGACTCGTCTCCGTGAGTTGAATCTTGTATTTGTTCATCTAAAGTGGAAAGTGCCCCATGGCGGACTATATTAATCAACCTTTTCATGTTCCAAGCAGAGACATTTTTATGATTCAGTTTGTGCAAATGGTCAATCCTTATCCCCATATCATCATTCTCGGAAGAAAGCACAGGCGAAAGCATAGGGCTTTTAACTCGGGGGCTTTTCAGGATCCGTCCACTCCCTATACTTCTTGCAGAAGGTGGTGATGAGAGGGTAGACGTCCTGAGCCCCGAAGGAATCTCGGCACAGGCTCTCTGCAGGCTCATAACTTCATTTGCAAGTCTGTCCTCCTCTTCTGCCCTCTGAATTTCGATCAACGGGGGACCGAAAAGAGTCTCGATTACATATTGATTGAACAACGAATCCTGGATTCGATCGAAATAAGTACTAACATGGAAAGAAGAGGCCAGCACCTTCACCAAAAGAGTCTTCACTACCCACAACATTTCTCCCACCACGAGACAAACCAAAACTTTAGTTACATATCTAACAAATGCACTCTTAGTTTTCGTTTGAATCTTCTTTCAAACAAGTAATGCCAAGCGATCAGAACCAAGCCGAGCCATAAACAATTCTGAACAGCTTTCCTCAATCTATAAACAAAATACAATACCTTTTTCCTCAAAAGAAAATTCCTCTCGATAAAAAACACAATTAGCCTTATAATCCAACCTGAAACTAATCTACCACATATTAGAACCAAGACCAAAACTTCCCATTTCCATAACATAAGATGCCACAAACGCTTCTCTCGTAAATATCGAATTGTAAGACTGCAAACTAAAGCAGCAATAATGGTAATCAAGCTTAACCATTCAAGCAAAACAAGAACACTCAACTTATCTTTCTTATACACATCAAGCAAATCCTCTTCAAGCAATGGATCGTCTTCTTCTTCGTCCACATGTTTCCCAAGAAACTCAGATCTCATTCCGGCTCTTGCAAACTTCGGCTCCCCTTTTTCCGGCGTAGGAGGGTCTATCAACCTGGACTTTGTCTTTGTGGCTGCTAATAAGTTTGATTTCCTTTGAAAAGAACCACATTCTCTTCTTTCGATTGAAGAATTTGAACTGCACTTTACAACCTCATCATTCACTTCTTTCCCCATCGATGGTGACCCTTTACCTTGTCTTTTTCTTACAGGATTGCTTGGAATAGCAGCTGCTGAAGGCGAAGGTGATTCCGCAACCGTAGGCAATGAACCGCGATAATGACCATGTGGCTGTTGCTGAAGTTCATCCATGTCCAAATCTATATCCAAGGAAATCTCACCAGAAGCTTTTTGATTATGCAAAAACTGACCAATCAACTTCGATGGTGGATCTTCCATGGCACCTTGTTTGCTTTGCATGAAATCGAAACCTTCACTTTCTCTAGTACTATTACTACCACTGTTGCTACTACCACTGTTCATGTCCGCATCCTCTTTCTTCCAGTTGATGTCGATTTTCGCACCGTCTTTCAGAAAATCATAGCTTGATTCCCTCCTAATCTTACCTCCACAGGTAGCGGTGGCTAAAACAGGAATACTGCCGTTATTGCTATTGTCATCAATCTTCAAGATGGTTTCTTTCCGGTTATCAGCCGTGTCAACTGTCATGGCTTTTCTACTAACCTTATGCTAATAATATAGCCAGAGAAAAGGAATCATACAATAAAAGAAAATTGGGTTTGCAAGGATACTAGTGATGAATTATGGTGACAGCCTAAGCTAAAGAAAACGCAAACTTTTTTCTTAGGGTGGCGCAGGTGGTGTTTGGCTCGTGGGAAAGAGAATGCAAATGTAGCCTTTCCCTTTGTTTGCCTGTGAGAAAGTGGGAAAAGGCCAATGAATTTATTTAAGGATCTTTGATGAGAAAGAGTTATATGAAAGAAGAGGAAACAGAAATATAAAACTGAAGTTTTTAGTCTACTTCTTCACCTCTAAACTATAAATTCAATTAAATATTCAACTTATTAATAATATATAAAATTATACATTAATTTTTCGATTCGCTATGTGGAGATTGATTATTTATTACTGTATTTTAAAATTGTAATTAAAATTTCATAAAAGAAGTTTGAAAGTTACTAAGGTAGAACCATCTAAAGTTGGTAGGTGCTTAGTAATACTCATAATTCTTAACAACTTTTTTTTAATTATTTTTGGAAATTATGGATTCTTCCACCATTTTTTTGGTTAAATAATTATAATATCATATAACGTTACGAATTATTGAGTATAACATACTAAAATTATTATTTAACATACTATATATATATTAGCAATGATTTTTTTATAAAAAAAATTATAATTATATCAAATATTATTTATGTATATTTGAAATTTTAATAAAATAAATAAATTATCCAACCATACATGTAAAAGGAGAAAAGCATTGATAGTATAATAATATATATTTAATTTATTTACTTTTTAAATAATAAAATAATTATAATATAATATATATTTAATATTTTTCTTAATTATTTATAACATATAAACATTATATATATATATAAACTGTTTGATATCATGATTTTTTTTAAAAATAATATCTTATTTTATTATTACAATCACTCAATAAATTTAATTAATTAATCTATTTTATATACAAAACAAAATTAGAGGACATAACTTTCTACTTCGTTTTGTGGCGGGTTTTTTTAACTAACTTCCTCGTACGTGTTCTATATCAGAACTTATATCAGTATTCTGTATTCATAACGCAAAATGTCCATTAAAGGAATTTAAAAGTGAAACGACACAAAGTTACAGGAATCCGCGGGTGACGCAATTCAACTGCTTCACTCACAGCCAAAGTCACTCCTACTCCGCGCGTAAATTCAAAATATTACTATATCGTTATCAACAGTGATCACGGCACCAATAGGTGGACGAAAATAGCGGGCCCAACTATTTAACGTGGCGAAATGGCATTGGCCGTGATATTCCAAACCTGGTGCTGCGGGTCGGTAGAAAAGTGCAAAAATGAAACGATGGAAGAAGATGATGAAGACGAATGACACACAAAGAGTTATGGGTCGAGCGAATAAACTTCTCTTTCTTTCTTTTTTATGAAATAAATATTTGCTCGGAAAATTATACAACTTATTCCAATGACTTGTCCTCCTTGGAAACATTACATGATATTCCTCAGTTGAATTCTTAATCGCTATCGTTATCCGACATGTCCGTAGAAAATACAAAAGATTTGGGAGGTATTTCAAGGACTTCAACTTCACTTTCAAGCATCTTCAACACTCTACTCATCGAAGGACGATGTATTGGCCTTGTCTGAATACACCAAATGGCAACAATTATCATTTTCCTTGCAATTCTGTTTTCATTCTCCGTCATGTCTCCAAGCTCTATATTCTCCCCTAGATCAAGTCGATCATAAATCCACGACGGAAAATAAATTTGACTTCGATGGTCAGCATAAGCATTTAGATTTTTCCTTCTGCCCACAATTTCAATCAGCATCATCCCGAAGCTATAAACATCAGCTTTATAGGAAATCCCTCCAATACTTTTATAAAACAATTCAGGAGCCATATATCCTATTGTCCCTCGTGCTGCCGTGAGAGAGACAATACTATCATCGACTGAATACGATTTCGCGAGCCCGAAATCTGAAACTTTTGGAGTAAAGTTGTCGTCCAAAAGAATATTGTGCGGCTTGATGTCGAAGTGTAAAATCTGCATCTCGCAACCATTATGTAAATATTCGATACCTCGACCGATTCCGACCGCAACCTCGAACATCTTTTCCCAGCTTAAACTACTAGATTCGGTCGAAAATATAAGTTTGTCTAGAGATCCGTTCATCATGAAATCATAGACGAGAGCTTGTTTTTTACCTTCCACGCAAAAACCAATAAGTTGCACCACGTTCACATGATGAATCCTTCCGACAGTGGCAACTTCGTTTATAAAATCTTGGCCATTACCCTTGGATTCATTCAGCAATTTTATTGCGACAGGTTTACCACTTCGAAGTTTCCCTTTAAACAAAGTGCCGAAGCCTCCCTGGCCTAATTTATTCTTGAAACCTTGTGTTATTCTCTTTATTTCAGCATAAGAGTACCTTATCGGCATAAAGTTATTGTGACTTCGAAGAAAGTTCTCGATCCCCTCATCCATTGCCAAATGCCTTGCTTTTATTTTGCGAATAACAAGGGTAATTAAGCAGCATATCCCCAAACATGTCCTTATTAATATGATCCCTGTTTTTCCCAAGAAAAAGGAAATTACTCATTTACAACATAATTGTAAAATGTGTATTTGTGATTTATTAAGGTTTCATTTGATAAATATTTTTGCTTTTCAATTCTTTGCTATTTGTTCCATTATATATTTTGTTCACTTTCAAACTTTTACTACTTCCTATAAGAAAGAAACAAAAACTTCTATTTTGAGGAAGAAAACCTTTGATATTCCATAGATCATAAGGATTGAACTAATGCGTACCTGTTATTGCAACAAAAAAAGACTGTATTCCTGTTAAAAGACAGAAAAAAGAACCAAGTATTACTTGAATGCATGGCAGGAATATTATACGAATTATAAGATTACATAGAGAATATAAGACAACTTCAACAAAACAACTATTCTTGACATTAATATTAGCGAAATCTGTAAAACAATCCACACCTTTACTTGGTGGAGAACCTAAAACACTCTCCATGGAAGTGTCTTGGAGAATAAAGGCTGCGATACTTTGAATATATAACAGGAACACGCCCACTAACACCCACAACGACGATTTCAATCTGGAATATCAAACAAACAACATTATAAAATGATAAACTGGTCCTTAACAAAGAGAGTTTATAAGTTTATCAAAGTAAAATCCTTACCCGTTCAAAACTGAGTTCCAATACAGCCGGCCATCATTTAGAAAACCAGGGATCCATTTGAGTTGGACGCCCTTCATCAGCGTTTTGTAAATATCAAAACTGGAGAGGCCATTGATGGTACGAAGACTAATCGGAACCCGGGCTTCGACCGTGCAAGAGTGATGGAAACCAGAGGTTGTAGTTCTTCCATCCAGAAAGTAATAAAAGTAATCAGCTGCAGGTGGTGAGGAAGAGCAGCGAGAAGCATCGATGTAATTCACCCCAGACCAAGACTTGTTCATCCTCGTGCTGCACTTCACCACATAAATCTCTTGATAAATATGTGTGTCGAAAACAATCCCAGTACCAGAATATGTATAAGTATTAGAAGTTCCTGGTAATCGACTGAATTCCCCGCTCGAAGTGGTATTAAAAGGGAGGGAACCGAGAGGAAGTGAGCAGTTATCATTTTCCAGATTCAGATCTACGAGTTGAAAAGTTTGGTTAGCATAAGAGATGCGTTGCACATAGAAATTCCCGTGCTCCGCTGGGAAAATTGCGCGGTTATTCTCGCACACAAGCTCACAGCTCTTGACACCGCAGTTTTGAGGCTGGGTTTTTAACCGAAAAGGGTAACTGATGCTGAGGTTTCCACACAAAGTGGAGACGCAATGGTTGTCGGTGCCTCTAGCCATGGAAGCATGGGGGAAGAGAGATAAAGCAAGGGCTAGCAGGTGAAGGAGAAGCCAAACTAATGGCGGTTTTGGTGTTGTCATCCAAAAATTTCAGTGGGAGAGAGGAGGAGGTTGATTTGTGAATACAGGCTAAGCAAGTGAATTCTAGTTCTTCATCTAACAATTTTCTGCAATTTCACACTCTTTGAAACCAAAAGTCTTTATTTCTCATTACACAATTGGACAGTTCAACCCGTGGAATAAACGCAAAGGAAAATCTGTACCACCTATATTAGAACCTATATCTTACACAATGGATAAACTAAAGTGTTGGTCCTTTTTATTTTCAGTCTGTCTTATTTTAGTTACATGTTTCAAAACGTTATGTTCTGATCACTTTCATTTTAGATTTGTCATATTTTAATCACTGAATCGTTAACTAACATTGTGTGAGATGTAAATTTTATTGCAGAAAAAAGGGATAATCAAATATGGAAGGAAAGAAGATTGACTCGTAAAAATTAATTTTTTTCAATCACAAATTGTTAAGCTAGCAATACAAGATTAAAACAACTCAAAATCTAAACCAACGTCCCTAGCTCCATGGGAATTTGAAAGCAATGCATGGAGAATTTCGTTCCAAGTATCAGGGACTCCAGCAATACACCAATGGCTACAGTCGCTTCCTTGCTGTCCATAGTAAGCAGAAGGGTGACCATCTTTCCTCAACAGAGAAAGCATAGTTATATCAAGCAAAGTGACCGGCTTCGACATGCTTCGCAGAACATCCTTCACTATCGACAACCCCGGTGGCAGTGGTCCGGGATAGGTTGCTCCGGTTATTGGTGTTGTTTGTCCTTGGCAGGATTTTGAAACCAAACTGCCCCATTCCCTGCCACTGTCAAAATTCAAACTCTATGAATATGTTACATTAATAATGATCCTAATTAAAATTTAGAAACGAAAATCATAATTTGACATTACTCGTAATGAACAGGAGAGATGCCCTGAAAAAATACTTGAGTGATGCGAGGATCAACATTGGAATTAACCCATTTGGACCAAGTAGATAGTCCCTCTTTGAAGGCCATTAATCTATACATATCCTTGTATATCTTTCCTCTATATTCAATGAATTCCCATCTAATTCCCACATCAACGACAATATAAATCATTAAGATGTCAAAAAATATATAAAAATATCATTATAAATATAGTTAAACTAAAAAAAAGTAAAAAAACAATACTCACGGTTGATTTTTTCCTTTAATTGTATGAACCCACCAATGCCAAGAATTAAAGACAAGAACATCATATCCTTTCCACGAATAATCTCCATTTATAATTGAGTCAAGCTTTAAGACTACGCCTCTAGGTTCTTGTACAAGATCAACGAGATATACGTTATGAGAATACTCCAACGATATTTCAAACTCCTGCAATGAATATTCATTTTAATTTTAAATTAAAATTTGTTAAAATAATGTTTATATGTTATTTAATAATAATAATAATAAAACTCACCGGTAGAGAAAAGGTGGAGTGGTTGCCCGCACTGGTTAAACTGTATTTGGAGTGCGGCACTGCTGCATGAACCATGCATAATAATGACTCCCACATATTCAAGCTTATTGAATCCCCAATAAACAGTATTTTCTTCCCCTTCATCTCGTTCAAGAAATCCAAACCATTAAATCTTGGCAATGAACAAGCAGTAGGCTTCCATTTGTATTTGAGGTAGAGTTTATCAGGTCGTCCATTTCCTTGACAATCGAACCCTTTGCTTATAAACGGACAAGTCGCACTATTGTAAAGAGGCCAAGAGGGTATGTACTATCTGGTAGTCAACTCCCTTTGAAATAATCGCAGCCAGCTCTGAGTTCAGACGATTCGACTCGGTCCGGCCATGAAATCAGAAAAACAATGGAAAAGGCAATGCTGCAAAAGCTCATATGATAACCATGGCGATATCTCATTTTTTTTTTTATTTAGAGAGACAAAAGAAGGGTATAAAACAACTTGAAAGACAATGCTGTATTGGAAAGTGTTGTGAATTACAACAAGGAGTTGTGAGATATTTATACTCTCCTTTGGTGTTATCAAGTAAATTATATTTAATTTTTCTTGATTTATTTCCTTGTTGGATTTAATTTTATAGCTATTGTTTAGGCTGAATTAGTAATGGATAAGGATAGTTGATGCATGGCTGATTCTCAAATATGGAAAATTAATTCATATATAGAATATTCATATATAAACTTTTAATCGGATTCTCTTAATGGAAATATATTTACTCCATCCAATCTTTCGTGATTTTTTCTTAATACTATGAACTTTTGTATACATGATTAGATGCAGAGGTGTCAATTGATTGAGTTTAATATGTTCTATCAAATTATATTTAAATTTAATTATTTTAAATAATCCAAATCTACAAAGTAAAAAGTAGTAATTTTAATGATAATTACCAAGTTTGATTGAATTATATTCAAATCTAATTATTTTGAGCAATCTAAATGTTTTTTTAAAGATGTTACTTTTGTATTATTAATAATATCAAAGTACACCACCTCAAGATCCTCATTAAAAAACTTCTCAAACCCTAAATAGAAGAAAAAGAGTGTACCTTGAGGTGAAAATGATATTTTGACTGTTTGTATTTTGGTAAATTGTGTCCTTTTACGAAGTTGTTCATGTTTATGTGTTCTTGACTTTGGTAAATTGAATATAATAATTTCCTTATTAAAATTAAGTACAAAGTTGAATTTTGTTGGAATTCACAACTATTTTTGTTTGTCACATTAGTATATATGGTAAAGTATAGTAATGGTCACTGAACTTTTCTAAAGCTTTCATTTAGGTCCCCTAACTTTTAAACCTTAAAATATAACCCCCCCAACATTTAGTCCATTTTCAATATGGTCCCTCAACATTTAGTCCGTTTGCAATATGGTCTCTGACGTAACTGTTGGAGGACCATATTACAAACGGACTAAATATTGGGGACTGTATTAAAAGTTTTAAAAGTTGGAGGACCTAAATGAAAACTTTAGAAAAATTTAGTGACCGTTACTATACTTTACCCTTTTATTTTACACGTGTAAACAAAGAATAATTCACCCGATACTTATACATATATATAAAGGGTAAACTAAAACTAAGTTCACTTAATTCTGGATTTAGTAATAAACATGTTACTTTTCTTCTAAAAGTTATAAATAAATCATTTAATTAAAATATTATTACACGAAAATAGTGATGTGACCTTATATAATAACGATCTTATTCTTTAAAATTTATATAATTTATTAATTTTATCTTTTATTCGAAACAATTTAATAAATTTAATATTTAAAAATTTTAAAAGCTTATCATTTTATTCTTTATTCTTCTCCGATCAATGTTATATTATTTTTTATAGTTTTTAAAGTATGATAATAGTCTAATACTAATGTGGTGCTATTTTATGACACAATGTAATTATTCAACTATTAATTTAATTTGATGGAGTCGTTTGATTTGATAGTATCGTAAAAAAATTATATTAATATTTTTTTATTAATATAGGATGATTACCATTGGTATTAAAAAATATTAAATATAAATGATTAAATTTATTGAATTATTTTAAATAAGAACAAGTTTAATAAAATATATAAATTTAATGAATTAAAAATATTATTATATCATATTATATCAAACGTCCATTTCATTCTTAACGATAAGATGAAATGCTTGTAATATTAATGTAACTGAATGATATGTTTATAACTTTTAAAGCAAAAGTAATTTGTTTGTTGTTAAACCTATAATTAGGGATGTTAATAGGTTGGGTTTTTTGTCGATCCGATCTGAATTAAAAAATTTATATCTTACATCCGATTTGACTAGACCTAAAAAGCATATATCCTTCACCCGACTCTGACCCTACCCGTTTTTAGTGTATAAATTCAACCTGACCCGACCCGGTATAAATTAATGATTTAATTAAAAAATAATATTTTTTAAGGAAATTACATCATTATCCTCGGATTGGGTCGGATTGGAGTTTTTTCACCCTCCATCCGAATCCAATCTGACCCAACCTCGCCCTATAAAAAATCGATCTGACCCGGTTTGAACCCAACTTCTTTTATAAAAAAATCCGACCTAATCAGATTGAATCGAATTGAAACCTATCGAGTGAAAATGCCATCCCTACCTATAATTAAGTGAACCAAGAGAAGTATCTGTCCAAACTAGTTAATTCAACATTAAATTAGAAGAAAAAACAATCGTCTTTTTCTTTTAATTTAATATTCCACTGTCTCTACAAAAATACTACTATTACAACAGTTAATGCTCCGACAATACTGTTTAAATTCATTACATATTGCCATAAGTTATTAATTATTGTATTTAATGTTATGTATTGTTACTATATGAAAATCATTTTTTTAATAATATAATAAATAAATAAATAACAGTATATTTGAACCGGTGGCCGGCTGGACTTTGGAGTTTCTGTCTGGCGTAAACTTCGTCTGTTCCCTTTGGTCAATTCCCATTTTGAGTCCCCCATGATGCACTAAATTAAAATTATGTCCCTATATTTTAATTGGACAAAATTTGTCCCTAAACCCGGATCAAGTCGGATTATAAAGTCACATCACTATTTTCGTGTAATAATATTTTAATTAAATGATTTATTTATAACTTTTAGAAGAAAAGTAACATGTTTATTACTAAATCCAGAATTAAGTGACCTTAGTTATAGTTTACCCATTATATATATATATAAAAGTATCAGCTGCTTTATTCGTTTGTTTACACGTGTAAAATAAAAGGGTAAAGTATAGTAATGGTCACTGAATTTCTCTAAAGCTTTAATTTGTCCCCCAACTTTTAAAACTTGCAATATAGTCCCCCAACATTTAGTCCTTTTGTAATATAGTCCCCCAAAAGTTACATCAGGGACCATATTGTAAACAGACTAAATGTTGAGGGACCATATTGCAAATAGACTAAATGTTAGAGAACTATATTACAAGTTTTAAAAGTTGGGAGACCTAAATAAAAGCTTTAGAAAAGTTTAGTGACCATTACTATACTTTACCCTAGTATATATGACCACAACCATAATTTTAGAGGCATGTTAGTAGTTAGTGACGTCTAAAGGTATAGTACCAAATAATATGTGCTTACTAATAATATGAAAGAGAATATTCTGTTTCCATATAAAATAATTTATTTATGATAGAAATTAATAATTTT